AATTCATGTTCTTAACCACCGAGCCATCTCTTCAGATTCTTTTGTATTTTTTTTTTTCTTAAAGTGGAAGGAGGTCAGTGGAGGATTGTGACAACGCTGTGCCTGCTGAGGGACTGGACTTTTATCCTGGAGGCCAAGTGAGCAGTGCAAGGCTTTGGGTGCGGGTGTCTTTGTGGGTTTTTGGTTTTGTTTGGAAGTTTTGGTTCTAGCCACTTGGAGTGCAATGATTACACCATGAGCCCAACTTTTGGGACAGAGAACAACTGTCCTGGCCACAGGGGATACAGCTCTGAAGGAGCCCCCAGCCAAGGAGAAATCAGTTCCCTTTCTTCTTTTTGTAAAAGCTTTAAATTTTTTATTTACTTTTATTTTATATATATGGGCACTTTGCCTGCACGTGTGTCTAGCCACCACTTTCATGCCTAGACTCAAAAGAGGCCAGAAGAGGTGTCAGACCCAAGAAACCAGAGTTATAGGCAATTGTGAACTGCCCTATAAGTCTGGGACTTGAACCCAGGTCTTTGGCAGAGCAGCCAGGTCTCTTAACTGCTGAGTCATCTCTCCGGTCCCAGCATATGCTCTTAATTCATCCAATTTTCACAGAGGTTCTGGGGACTCCCGAACTTTGGAATTTCTGCTTTAACAGAACAGCTGAGGTGAGGCCTGTCACTGTCGTGTGTTCAATACTTCTTGTGTTGCCCTTAGAGTAAGAACCTGAATATCGCTGGGCTGTGGGTGGCACATGCCTTTAATCCCAGCACTCGGAAGGCAGCCTGGTCTACGAGAGCTAGTTCCAGGACAGGCTCCAAAGCTACAGAGAAACCCTGTCTCGAAAAACCAAAAAAAGAAGAAGAAGAAGAAGAAAAGAACCTGACTATGACCTCTAATTCCTGATTGGCGCACAGCGGGACTTTGGGCAGGCAAGGTTTTGTGCACTCCTGCTTCTTTTCTCTGACCAGGTGGAACTCCTCAGCGTCAAGGTGGCCCTGTCACAGGTCACTTTCCTGTTAGATTTTGCTCGGCATCATTAGCTACTGTTGTGTGCTTTGCAGAATGGAATGAGATTGGAGTCAATGGGTTTGGCTTCGGATTCTGACTTGACCACTTAGTTAACCCTGCTGAACTCTGGTTTCCTCCTCTGGAAATGGAGTGGCCAGATGTCTGAGTCACAGAGGGGCAGGCAGGCGAGCATCTTTTTCGAATGCGCTGTGCATTGCTCACAACTTGCAGCAAACGAATCTTAAGGGCCTCACGATCTGGCTAGAAGTGATGCCACGGGTGTCCACCATGTGGGTCCCAGGGATGGAACTCAGGGTCTCAGGGCGTCAGGCTTGACAGCAAGTACCTTTGCCCACTGAGCTGTCTCACTGGCCCAAGGACTATGACTTTTGCAGCTTTGAGAAGCAACAGCTGAAGCAGCATGGGTTTTCCTTCCTTCATAATTTCATGCGTTTACTCTTTCCCCAGGTCTTAGCAACCACGGCATAAAATTTCCTCCTGTCTTTATTAAGCCATGAACTTTTACCCTTCTGCTCACAGAGAGAATTTCGTGGCTTTTCTTCAACCTGGAGAAACTTCCAGCAGCACCCTCTGAGTGCTGGATCGTTAGTGAGTAAAATGAGAGGCACTTGGATACAGACGCTGCGATACCACAGCAGTAGCTCTGATAGCTGAGACAGCTAAGTCACTGATGGGCAGGTAGTCCATACCGTGTGGATACTCTGGGCAAAGACCTGATTCATGTTCTAGGCACGACCGAGTAGGACGGCATGAGGTTATTATGCTACTCAGAACACCATGTAACTTACCACTTAGGAACTGGGCTGCAGAGACGGCTCGGTGTTTAAGACCCAGGCTTGATTCCTAGCGCCTACATGGAGGCTCACAGTCATCCATAACTCCAGTACCAGGGAATCTGACAAACTTTGGCCTCCACAGGCACTCCATGCGTGTGGTGCACAAATACACAGACAGGCAAAAACACAAATACACGTAAAATAATAAAAGAACTTAAAAATAAATAAAACCTTGGCACTCTGCTTCTGAAATGTTTCCATTTGTACTTCTGAACTGCAGTAAATGACAGAAGTGGAACTGTAACTAAGGACAGACGGCACCCCGTTTCTCATCCCAGACAACGTGATCCCTGGGAACAGGAACAAATCATTGGCTTCCGTGTGGTGAAAAGCCTAGTGTCTGAGGCCTGTGGTGACATTAGTCCTTCACAAACCCTGTACTCCGTGTCCAATCTGTGGTTTGCGAGTCACATGCAGCCAAGGATAACTAGGAACGCAGCTCAACATAAAATCCCAAACTTGCTTCAGTATTACGAGCGTGAGTGTGCGTTATGTGTTTCTCAAACATAAGCAGTGTCAATGACAATTTGATATTGGAGCATCAAAAGGCAGAACATCTGCTAGAGCCAGTGTCCGTGCCGGCAACTGTTCTCTTGCTCAGCCCTCCAGTCCCTGTCAGCTGACGACACCGGTCCAAACACAGTTGTGGTAAAAGCTTTCTCCACGTATGCTTTGAAGATAGTATCCTGATCTGTTTTATCTCTCTCTCTCTCTCTCTCTCTCTCTCTCTCTCTCTCTCTCTCTTGTTTTGTTTTGTTTTGTTTTTCGAGACAGGGTTTCTGTGTAGCCCAGGATGTTCTAGAACTCTCTCTGTAAACCAGGCTGACCTCAAACTTACAGAGACCCACCTGCCTCTGCCCCCCAATTACTAGGATTAAAGGCATGTATTACCACCACCTGGAATATTCTGAGATCTTTAAGCCAAGCTCCAAGTCACTGATGGCAGCAGCCACACTCCAGTCCTTAAGACACTGAGGAAACGGGACTGAGTGTGACGACTTTTAATTCCGCACTCAGGAGACAATGGCAAATGCATCCTCCAATGAAGGCCAGCCTGGACTATAGTGAGTTCAAGGCCAGCTGGAGGTACAACATAAGACCCTGTCCAAGAAAAAAAGGGGGTTGGGTTTGGGGAAGATATTTGAGATATTGAGGAAACGAGCAAAGATCAACCATATTCTTTCTTCCATTTGAGCAGAGGCAGGCTTCTGTCATCCCAGGCTTCCTGAGCTTGGATAGATGCTGGAGAGAGGAGGCTGGAGAGCCCACAGCGTCAGAAGTTCCTGGCCATGACTCCCTTGTTAAGAGTCCAAAGTTGATGCGTGTCTTTAGTCCCAGCACTCGGGAGGCAGAGGTAGACGGACCTCTGAGTTGGAGACCAGCCTGGCCTACAGAGCAAGTTCCAGGACAGCCAGGGCTATACAGAGAAAATAAGAATCCAGAGTTATCAGCCACTCTGCAGGAGACTGAGTCTCCTTTGTTCCAGCCATACTCAGTCTAATTAACTCTAAGGATCCTCCTTCAGGGATCGGGAGTCGCATTCGGCCTTCGGCCTTCAGAGACATGCCAGGGCAACCCAATGGCCAGTCAAGCACATTGCTATGGCAAGAGTCAGTGGCTCAGTCATGGGAAGGGTTCCTGCCGGCCCCCACACTACCATGGTTCTCGGCCTCTTTGAGGTTCCTTCCAGGCCACCTCTGCTGTCTTTGCAGGCAGCTTGGCTGGAGCTGAGTCTGAGTCACTCAGGCACTGAGGGTCTTTCCCCAGGACTCTGGACTACCGAGGAACAGGGCAAAGGAATTCTTCACATCACACATAGGTGTTTATGGAGTGTGGACTCTGCTGAGTCTTTACTAAGGGTTTTATGTGTGATATATTCTCTTTCTGACACTCCACTGTGGGCACATACTATGGCGAACCCCACTTTACACATAAGAGACTGAGCCCCAAAGGCTGAAATATCTTCCACAAGGCCGTAGGATCCAAGTAAAGAAATGAGAACTTTGGGGTTCCTTTGTCTGCAACCACAGTTTGAGAGAAAAGGAAGTCCTTACTTTGATGTTAACCAGGGTTCTAGAGCAGGGGTTCAACATGACAGAAGAGACATTTGTCCTCTCTCCTCAAAAAGTCCCGCACAGAGATGTCAGGTCTGCCATTACCCAGCTAGCTCTATCACTTGAGGCCAATTGCCTCATCCTTCTGAGGCTCAGTTTCCCCATCAGTAAAAAGAGGTGGGACTGTTGCATGACAGACATGAGCCATGTGTCTGGCACTTGTTGGGTGTTCTGTAAACGGAGGGTCTGGATACCATTCTTTGCTCCCTTCCTGATGTCCTACCACAGGACCCCAAGCTCCTGGCAGGCCCTTTCCTGCTGGCGACAGCAGCCCATTATAGTAAGTGGAAGCAGCTGGAAAGAATGGGGTGGGAACCGGGGAGGGGAGGGGACAACTTGAGTGACTGCAGGCCAACCCTGAAGGTCTCCTAGGGGATATTGGCCATAGCCACAGGTGCACCAATTACTCTCCCCTAGAAGCCGGTCTTACTCCCCACCCGTCTTGGCCAGACCTGGCTTCTGCAGGAGGCAGGGCTAGCAAGGCTGTCTGGTCGTTTGTCTTCAGGGTTTCAGGGCCTCCCTGAGGCTTCGAGGGTTTTGTTAGATTTCTCTCTCTCTTTCCAGCCACTTTCCAGTTAAGGAGCCTCTTCTTGGCAGTTCAGGTTTCTTTCTTGGGAGCTCTGTTCCAAGTGGAAGTTTCTGGTTGGGATAATACCTAGGTGTGAGTGGCCAGCGCAGGAGGAGACAGAGGCTGCTCTGGGACTGGGGGAATAGCGCCACTAACCAGGTGCTCTGAGGGAAGCCGGGGCTTAGCTTCTCATCCTGGAGGACCCTCTTCTCCTCTGGGACCCAGGAATGTCCCTGGATGGCAAGGCCAGAGCCCACCCGCCTCCGCCTCGCTGGAGGGTCCTCGCTGGAGGGTCCTCGCCGTTATTTCACGAGTGCACCCGGAGAAGGCTGCAGGGCTCAGTCTCGCCTTCTCTGTCACAGCTGTGATCCAATACACGTCAAGGCAGATGTTCAGGACTAGTTAAGAAGATACTTTCTAGGTTTGAACTGATGGGGAAAAAGCACAACAGAACTCGTTTAGTATTTCTAGCTACACTTAATTTATTTCATGGGTGCACAGGTACAAATGACGCATGCGCAGAGGACAATTTGTAAGAGTCGGGTCTCCCTTCTACCACGTGGGGCCTGGAAGCAAGCACAGGTTCCCAGGCTTAGTTACCTGCTGAGCCACCCCACTGGTCCTCTCTCTTTCTGATTCTGGTTTGTGGGCACAGGGTGGTCTCAGAGTCATTAGCTAGGCAAGGAGAGCTTTGCAGTTTGGATCCTCCCTCTTCCATCTCCCAGGTGCTGAGATTAATGCCAGTGCGTCACCATGCTCCGTTGGATGCAACGCTGGGACTCAATCCCGGAGCTTCACTTATGCGAGGAAGGCATTCTTCTGGCTGATATGCATCCCTATCCAAACCGTTCTCTTTCTAGACCAGAAAACTAAGGTGCAAAAAAGATGAAGGTTGTCAAGTGTGATAATGCACGCTTTTAACTCCAGAGCCCAGGTGATTGAGTCAGTGAAGTCTCAAGTCTTCCATCTTGGGTTATAGGGTGAGTGGCCGGCCACTCCAAGTGCCTACAAAATCAGAGCCCGACAGAACAAAACAAACAGAAATAGGAAAGAAAGTAAGAAAAGATGAATGTCCCTGAGACTCTATAGCTCTTCATTCTTAGCTTCCTGTCTCCCCTGAGGCCCCTTTAGTGATTCAGGCAGTCAGAGCAAGGACCTGGTGCTGATGTGTGAGCTACCTGGGCCATGCTCCGTGACAACCACAAGTTTACTAGTTTGGGAGCTGTGTGTGGCAACAGGAAGGTAGAAACCTTGCCTCACACACTCCTTCCCCTCCAGCAGTTTGACAGTGATTTTTTTTTAAACTGAACTTGAGTTGAGCTGGGCTGCTGCCAGCACAGCCAACCTGGGGCATCGTTCTTCCACTGGATTCTGTTGAGCACCACCTTCCCTAAGCCCTTCTTCCCCATCCAGCACCCCCATCCCACCCCCACTCTGTCCCAACCTCTACAGCATCATGACTATGGTCATCAAATGGCCTTGTGCCAGATGGGAGTAGGAGTCAAGGTCTCTTCACCTTCCTCTTGGGGGTTCCCTGACACTCGGCACTTTGGTGCCTCGCACAGAGTTCGTCCGTTGAGTCAAGCAAGGCACTGGGGAAAGGAGAAGCATGGCGTTTGTCTTTAAGGAACACAAGAAGCCCTGGATGCCAAATCTCCGTCCTTGGTGTTTCTCTCCTGTCTATTCTTTTCGTCTCCAAGAAACTCACACTTAACCTCTCCCTTTTGCTCTGGCTTCTCTGAGAGCTGGAGGGGGTGGAGCTCAGAGAACCCGGGTGTAAGGACTTGCGCATGGGTCCTAAGAACAAGCAGGTAAAGCCTCTCCCGCAGGGACCATCGCATCTGCCCCGTCACTTCTGCTGGGTCCACAGGCTCCAGGCCTTAAGCAGCCACACACCTGCCTGGGTAAATGAGGTTGAGAGGGGCTAGGCATCCTGGACACAGAGGAACTTGCCCTTGATCTTGCCAGCTTCTGGGTGAGCTCAGGCCCTCGGGCTATTGGCTGTTTCCTTGGAGACTCCAGTGCACCTTCTTGTACCATTGAGTAGTGTGGCCCAACTCCTCCCCCCAGGACCCCTCCCCACAGAAACCACCGTTCCAAGGCTTAGCGCACCCTCTGGACACATTCCCTGCTCATGCGTATGCTGATCCTGACAACTCTCTAAGGTGGAATACAGCCCCCAGTTCACAGATAAGAATGCTGGGGTCTAGAGATGTACCCTGACCTTCCTTCCAGGTTACCCAGGCAGGAAGCGACGCAGGGTAACTCAAAGGTCCTGGCTTCACGTCGAGCCACTTGATTTCCTTCTTCTTCTGAGCATCCATTCTTCTGAATCCCTTCTTGACATGACTGGAGACCGGGGCCACCACAGCTGTGTCAAGAGAAAGTCGGGGTTTGTGGGTGGTGAAAACACAGCATCCCTCATTCCTCTCCGCAACTCCACTGCTTCGACGACAGACCCAAACACCAGCCTCTTCTCCAGGCGATTGCCCTGCCTCGTGCAGGGGGTCTGCTCCCAATCCTAGAGCCTCTCAGCTCCCACTACCTGCTCAGGCTCCAATCTGAGCTAACCAGAAATTTTAGATACCACCAACTCAGCCTGTGCTTCCTCCTTGCACTCAGCACAAACCGTGGGTCCTTTCAGCCCTTAAGTCATGGTTCATTTTGTCTGCTGGCTTCTAGTTAGAACCCAACACTCTTCCTTATGGATCACCATGAAGCCCTCCCCCACCCTGGGCTGTCTACATCGCTTCTGAGAGGAACTTCCTCTGCAGGGCTTTCAGGAGCTGAACCTCCAACATCCCGCTAGGAAGACCAGGACCAGCTTCGGGAAAGCGGCTGGAACCTGAGCCCAAGACCAGCCCCACTGACCTGCCCCTTCTATCGGGACAGCATCAGCAGTTCCTACATGGCGGATTACCCGCCATGAATGTTTCATGGGCTGGCTCTTCAGCACTGCGCACAGGGAAGGCTGTAGAAGAAACCAAAGGCGGCAGGATAGCTCAGGCGTTCGACAGGGTGGAACACAGAAATTCTTTGTGAAGAAAGATTTTGTAGTGGGCTCTTTTGTTGTTGTTTATTTTTTGTTTTGTTTGAGACAGTTTTTTTCTATGTAACAGTCCTGGCTGTCCTGGAACTTACTCTGTAGACCAGGTTGGCCTCAAACTCAGAGATCCTCCTGCTTCTGCCTCCCAAGTGCTGGGATTAAAGGTATCCACCACCATGGCCTGGCTGATTTTGTGGGATTTGATGGTGTTTGTCAAATAGAAATTGTTGAAGCTTGTGAGTGGAACCCTTGTCCAGCACACTCAAGACCAAGGAATTCATTTCAAAATTACAAAAGAGAGAGAGAAAGGAGGAGGAGGCTAGATGTGGTAGTGCACACCTTTAAGTCCAGCACTCAGGGAGCAAAGGCAGGTGAATATCTCTGAATTTGAGGCCAGTGTGGTATACATAGAGAAGTCTAGGCCAATTGGGGCTATATAGTGAGAACCTTTCAGAAAAAAAAAAGAAAGAAAAAGGAAGAAAGAGAGGAAGGAAGGAAGGAAGGAAGGAAGGAAGGAAGGAAGGAAGGAAGGAAAAAAATTTTAATAGTTACATTAGATTAGAGACTGGACATAAGGTAGAATCCATGACAGTGGAGGCATTTGGGGACCATGGGTACATGGGGAACTGCTTCATCTTGGGTTCGGGTTCTAGCCACTTGTCTGAAGTTGTAGGAGGCCGCTTGTTTGTTCCCAGCTGCTCAGCCCCGAAATAATCACACAGAAACCATATTATCTGCAATACTGTTTGGTCAATAGCTTAAGTGTATTTCTGGCTAACTCATATCTTAAATTAACCCATCTTCATTCATCTGTGTATCACCACGAGGCTGTGGCTTACCAGGTAAAGATCCAGCGTCTGTCTTCAACGGGGCTACAATGCTTCTCCTCGACTCCTCCTTCTTTCTCCCAGCATTCACTTTAGTTTTCCTAACCTGCCTCTATACTACCCCGCTAGGCCCAAGACAGACTCTTTATTAACTAATGGTATTCACAGCATACAGAGGGGAATCCCACATCATGAAGTGTACATGTGGGCAGAGAGACAGGGGTGATTTGGTGGTGTCCCTGGCCACTCCTACCCTTGAAAGTCACTGACCTGTTCTCTAAGCAGTCCTGGGTCCAAGTCAGGACCAAGGTGTCATGCTGTTGGCAGCCTGAGTCAGCCCAGTCTCCCTGCAGGCTGCCAGTTCAGGCTTCAGGCTCAGCTATTTCCCAGTTCCCTAGGCTCAAGGGAGGGGCAGGCTGCCTCTGCAGGAGAGTTTCCCTTGGTTTCTCCTGCCTCTCACACTGGAACACAGGCATCTTGCTCTAAGTATTTCTAGTCAGGTCCCCACACTTGACCTGCCTGATCGTTAACCACTGGGAGCCCGGTCATGAACCCCGAATGTCAGTGCAAAGGACTATTCAGCGGGGGTGAGTGCCCCGGCTGTCCTTCATCTGGAAGGGGAGACAGGTGTTTCTTGAATCAGCTCAGGGCTCCCTCTTGCTTCTTGCTGAGGGATAGAGCCCAGGCCCTGGGGGCTCAGTATTTGCCAACCAGTGGGAGGGGCTTGTAAGCAGTCGGTTTTCGGCCTGCCCAGATGGATAGTTACGTCCTAGGGTTCAGCAAGAGACCCAGATGGGAAGAGAGCAACCAAAAGGACCTTCTTGGCACAACCTTCCAGAATCACATGGGACTTGGGGATCCCCCTGGCGATCCTGCCAGTTCCCCATCTGTCTTGCCACCATTTGCTCCTCCTCTCTTCTCTGCTCTCTCTGGCTTTTAATTCCCCATTTACCATCTTTATTGAAGCCCCTTGGTTGCTATGGAAACCTAAAGCAGCCAAGGAAGAAGAATTTGGAGAGGTTCTGAGGTTTCCAGGCCAGCAGGTCCTGCTTTGACTTCCATTTGTCCAGGTCTGGGGAACATGTATCAACTTCAGAAAATGGGTTTGGGATCTCCTTTAGTTAAACAGTATAGGTGTGAGCTGGATGAGGTGGCTCACACCTATAATCCCAACATTTGGTGAACCGAGGTAGAAAGGCTGTCAAGAGTTCGAGGCTGCTGGGCAGTGGTGACATACGCCTTTAATCCTAGCACCTCAGAGACAGAAGCAGGTGGATCTCTGTGAGTTTGAGGTCAGCCTGGTCTACAGAGCTAGTTCCAGGACAGCTAGGGCAGTTACACAGGCTGAAACCCTGTATGGTAAAACCAAGAGAGAGAGAGAGAGAGAGAGAGAGAGAGAGAGAGAGAGAGAGTGCTCAAGACTAACCTGACTACATTGTGAATTCCAAGTCAGGTCCATCTTGTCTAACAGAAGTCAAGAGAGAGAGAGAGAGAGAGAGAGAGAGAGAGAGAGAG